GGAAGCGTCCACCGCCGGCGCTCGGAAGCAAGCGCCACCTAGCTGGGGGGAGAAGGTTCGGAGTGCCTGCGGTGGACGCTTCCCCAGAGGTTGCTCTGAAGCCTGCGCTTACTGAGGTGGTGAAAATGGCGGCCGGATGGGGGATTCTTCGCTTACTGGTCAGTTTTTCCACAATAGGAACGCATTAAACGCTCCTTGTGCATGGGGGCTGGGTGCAGCTTCATTTGAAATGGGAAACAAACTGGCTGCAGACTGCCTGTGCGCAACCAGTTTGTTTCCCATCAGCAGCCTGTGAGCTCCTGAAGGGAGCTGTGGGCAAGCACATGTGCAGCTTAGAAGGATCATTGAATATGACTGTTTATGGATGACAATTACTTGAAAATGTTTGGGCTTCTTTTTTCAGAAGGAAGATGGGGAAGGCAGGGAGCTGAATGTGGGTTAGACTTTTCCCCCCCAAATAATTTCTAGTACCTAATTTTTCTGTGGAAAATTCTCAATTTCTTAAACAAATCAACATAATTACACACCAAAACACCTCAGTTTTATTTCATAAAACTAATTAGCAATGATGGATGGGTTCCAGTTTGGCTCAGTGTAAAATGAAAGTAGTGTAAAGCAACCCTGCAGGTAAGGAATCATGAAAGAGCTGCCCCAGTGAACAGGATAAAACTATATTAGAAGTAGATGAATGAACAACCACAGGATGCTAAGCACAGATTGGTCTGTATGCTAAAATTAGGCATTCAAAGGTTTTTAGTACATTTTTTCCTTAAAATTAAAAAAATGTAAAAATTGCGGACAAGTAGTTATTAAAAAGCATTTTCACAGAAAGATTTGAATTTGAATGTACCATTTAACTCATTAGTTTTTTTTCTTTGCTAAATATTCTGATTCAGATATTATTGGGTGATTTTAAATTTTTGTTTAGGAAACACACCACAAATAAACATGCTGAATTGGGTTAAATTCTACTAAGGCAGTGGTGTCGAACTGTGGCCCTCCAGATGTTCTTGGCCTTCAACTCCCAGAAATCCCGGCCAGCAGAGGTGGTGGTGAAGGCTTCTGGGAGTTGAAGTCCAAGAACATCTGGAGGGCCACAGTTCTAAGGGATCTGGAAAAAATTCCAGTGGTGTTTCCAGAAGCTTCACAATAAAATTATCTGAAAAGTATAATTGTTGGGGGAATGGAAATGGATGGCTAACTGAATAAAATTATGACGAGGTTGCTGCAGGCACAGAGGGTCTTTCTCAGCCAGGGTGGCGCCGCCGCCGCCTCAGTCTCCCTGCCGAGGCTGGAGCTGTGAGGGGTGGAGAGAGAGAGAGAGAGACGAAGCACAGCTGATCGGCGGGGCTTTGGGATGATCGCGGGGAAGCGCTTCCCCGCGATCATCCTAAAAATGAGGGCTTTGCGATGATCGCTTCCCCGCGATCATCACAAAGCGAATTTTCCTCATAGGGGCCATCACAAAGCGACCGCTCTTGGGATGGCAAAAAGTCCATCGCAAAGTGATTTCGTCGTAAAACGGAGCGATCGCTATGCGAGGCACCACTGTATATGTGTATGTATATATATGTATATTAACCTGCCTTTCTCCTTGAAAAATACCAAAGGTGGCCTATAACACTGAAAGACAATATATAAAGTTGAAAATAGTATACAACAATGGTTAACAACATTAAAAGACAAGAACATTTTAGTCATTAAAAGGCAATATTAAATCTAAGAAGAATAAGTATACAATTAAAAAAAAACCCAAATGCCACTCTGAGAAACGGAAAACATAAAAATGGAATAATGCATAACAATCCACCTAAAAAACGATATAAAGGTAGCTAGTTACTGAGGGAAGGCTCAAAAAACAAACTACACCTGCCTAAGCATCACAGTGACCAGTACTGGATCACCTAAAAGCAGAGCAGAAGGACAATTGTATAAGTGCCCCACTCTTATTCTAGCAAGCTTCCTGTCAGGTGACAGTTGCGTAACTGCTCTGAAAGTCAATGTGTTAGCAGGTATGTACAGGATGACTAACCTGGACCACCTGGTCCTCGCATACCATGGTTCTTCACATTGCCACACTGATGGAGGCCAGAAAAGCATCCACCAGGTATGAAGCCTTCTTGGCTGTGGCACTAGCCCTTTAGAATGGTCTGCCAGTTGAGCTGCACCTGTCCTCTTCCCTTCCAACTCTTAAGAGGTCACTTAAGATGATGTTCTTTACAGAGGTTTTCAATGGCATCTGCACAGGAATTAGTGCTGCTTGTCCAATTATGGTTTGATACTCTTGATCTGTTTGTCTTAAGACATTTCGACCTGAGTTGGTTTTCTATTCCCTTCATTATTTATTTTTATTGTTACACTACTGCATTCATTTTCATTTGATTGTTAACTGCCCAGATTAGTGCCTTGCACTAATCAGGTGGTATAAAACTTGAAGAAAATGAATGAATGAATGTTGCACTACTCAGGACTACTTAGGTCAGGGATGTCCAACCTTTCACCTTCCCTGGGCCACGTTAGAAGATGAAAATTTGGTTTGGGCCACACATACATTTGGTTTGGGCCGCTTGGGGGGGCAGCCCTAGCCTTCCTCCGCAGCCCCACTCCAAGCGCGCTTACCGGCAGCTGCGATCTCAGACAGCAGAGGCTGCCAGCTTCGACTCCGGTGGCTTTATGGGGCCGGGAGGGGGTCCACCTCTTGATGGGAACGGTACAATGCAGTCACGCAGCCCCCCTGTCCACTCCCCTCCCACTCCTTCCTTCCTTCCATCTCTCCTCCTCTACTGTTATGACATGCCTCGGCCACATTCTGGCCGCAAGCGCCGGCAGTGTAACTTGAAATTTTGGAATTTCTTTAAAAATAAAAAATTGCACTGGGCCACATTACAAGCTGACCTGGGCTGCATGCGGCCCTTGGGCCACAGGTTGGACAAGCCTGACTTAGGTTATCACATAAAGCTGAATGGCAGTAGGTTTGAGGCAGAGAAGCATAGCTCTTCATATAATATGTAGTTTGTTTATCAAGCTTTGTAGCACACAATGTGCTCTATTAGCTTACTTTTAAAAGAGGTTGAGAAAAATTCCTGGAGGATTGGTCTCTTACTGACTCTCAGCTTCTAATGGCTGCTAGGTTGCAGAAAGGCAGAAACAGGAGAGGAGGGCTAGTGCCTTTCTTCATTGCTGATGAGCTCCCCAGATGCCTTTGCGTTCCAGTGAGGGA